CACATCATCAGCAATCCCATCTGGGTCAAGCGTATGCAGTAAATAAGCTTAGTAAATAGTTTTGTTGCATATAATTTAAGTATAAATAAACAATTCTAATCAGTTAATATCGAATATTGTAGTAATAAACTTCTTACTGTAACTCTGTCAAAATAAATAAATATATTTTTTATTGAAGTTTGGTTCATTATCTTAATTAGCGCGCTTTGCTTTATTGTTTTGTTTGATTTGTTATTTTTAATTTTTTCTGTTATTGTTTTATTATTGTTATACTGTTACTTTGTTGTTCTTGGAAGAACGTCTCTTGCTCTTCTCAGAGCGAGCCCTTGTTCTTGTCAGAACATAGGGACCCCAGCTTCTGGGATTAGAGCGTCAGTCCTCCCCATCTGCCACCCAAGGCTATGTTCTTCTCAGAACAGGGACCTCTAGATTCTTAGATTAAAATCGTCACCCCCCTGTCCAAATCATGTCTATCAACATGTCTGCCACAGACATGAGCAATTTCGCGAGCCAACTTATGGCTGTGGTCGCACAATTCGTCCAAGCCACAGGCCTACCCATCCAAATCAACGAGACCGCTCTCGTCAACGCCTTTTCTCCCATTGCCCCTAAGGCATGTGCCCCTCGCCTACCGTCGCGGCTTTCCTTGCGATCCAAGTGGCTGCCCCGCAGACCGACTCGCCCACGTCCCCTGACTCCGATATGGAGCACTCGGACAACACGTCCTTACCTACCTCCTCCCGGAAGAGGACCGCCCACAGCTCCACAGGCTCCCCGGAGTCATCCGATTCCGAAGGAACGGTCACCGATTCAGCCCATTTCACGCTAGTGAATTCAAGCGCGGCCCGAAGCGCGCCGCGACTTCCCGCACTCCCCCCGCCCCGGTGTCCGCCGCCGCCGCCCGCGCACCCCCCGCCGCTGCCTCAACTTCCGCAGTCCCCATCGTTCCCCCCCTACCTCCGCAGCCCCAAACGCTGCCCCCCTCTCAGTCGCAAGACACTACCCCCAAGCCAGCAACCCGCTGCGCTCCCAAACTGGCTAAACGCCAAGTCCTGCCCCCTGTCTTTCTCAGAGACAAGGCGAAGTTTACACAGCTGTCCAAAACCCTCTACGATAAGGGTTTCAAATATGACCAAGCCACCAATGTCGGCGAGGCCATCAAAATAATGCCGGCGTCTATAGAAGACTTCGGAATATAACCCGTCTCTTCACGTCCGAGCGTGTGTCATCACACATACGCTCTCGCTGAAGAAATAAAAATCAAGGCGGTCCTCCGCGGAGTTCCTTATGAACTCGCAAACGAGGACATTCTGGAAGACCTTAAGTCACAAGGCTTTCCCATAGAGGCTGTGCACAAGATGCACAGCAGCAGGGGCGAGAGATTTAACCTCGCCCTCCTCGTTCTTACCAATGTGCCGGAGGCGAAGGCCATCTTCCGCGAGGTACGCACTGTGTGCGGCCTATCGCGTGTAAAGGTCGAAGCCCCACACCGGCGCGGTTACCCAGCGCAGTGCCACCGCTGCCAACTCTATGGGCACGTGGCAGTTAACTGCTTAGCCCCACCCAGGTGCGTTAAGTGCCTAGAACCCAAATCACTCGAAAGAGTGCCCACGGCCCAAAAACGCCGAATCTCCACCCGCATGTGTCCTATGCAGACAAACTGGCCACCCGGCCAACTTTAGAGGCTGCTCTCGCGCTCCTCGCCCACTTCTGAGCCACAAAGCTCCAGGTCAGTGACCGAAATTTACCGGCTCTTGGGCCCCGACAGGGCCAGCCCCTACCACAGCCCCCTCAGGGCTTATCTCAGCCCACACAGGGCATCTATCGGCCACCTCAGGGTCCTCCACGGCCCCTTGCGAACCTTCCGCTCTCCCAGCCTGCGTCGCTCCCAATAAACCCTTGGTTCCCAAAGGCAAATAATATACCGCGGCCCTCCGCTGACCCACAAAAACAGGCAGACTCTATAGTAGATGATCTAAGCCTAGTGTCTAACACTATGAATAAGATCAATATAGGGGAAATCTCTATCCTTGCGCGTAAACTGCGCGCTGCCCAGTCCCCTCAGGACCGTCGCCTTGCTCTTGCTGAGCACGTCGACCTACTAAGGTCGTTGTAATAACACTATGCCGGAGCCCTCTGCTTCCGCAATATCGCACGGTCGTATCAAACCAAAGGGTTTGTCGCTTGTTTCGTTTAATATCCGCGGTTTGCGAAATAACCTCCCAGAGCTTAGGCTATTTCTTCGAGATCACGAAGCCGACCTCTTCCTTCTTCAGGAGACCCACCTCAGCTCTAAGGTCTCTAAAGGCCTCTCTATTAAAATTATTCACTTCTTCGTAATGACAGACCCGACCGCAAAGGCGACGGTACTTCCATTTATTACAAAAAGTCCCTTCATTGCTCCCACATCCCCACTCCGACGCTTACCAGTATGGAAGCCACTATCACTAGATTAGTCATCACTGGACACCAGTCTATCATTATAGCCTCTTGCTATATCCCTAGCAGAACCCTCCCCGTTAAAAGTGATTTCGAAGCCATTCTTGCATTAGGCGACTCAGTCATTATGTTTGGAGATTCTAACTCCTGAATGGACCTGCCGCACTACTAGTAGTACTACTAGTAGTGGCAGGGTGCTGCTCAATATCACTCAGTCTCTCGACCTGACTGTTTACAGCCCCCTCGCTGTCACCCACTATCCCGACAACTTTAACTACGCTCCTGACGTGCTAGACTTTGCTCTAGTTAAAGGAGTCTCCCTTAACCTTAGAGCAATCGAGTCTCTCGATGATCTAGGATCCGACCACCGTCCTGTATCCCTCCTTCTTGGCCATCAGCTAACTCCAACTCCTACTTCCAAAACCTACACCAACTGGAAGGACTTCAGGAAGTCTCTTCTTCAGTAATCTCGGCTATAGACTCTCCGGGCCCTCCCATAACCCTTTCTTCCGACATCCTCGACAGTACGGGGAAAATAGACACCGCGGTCGAAAACCTCACCTCTCTTATAACATCCTCTCTTAAAGAGAATGAAAAGGTTGTCCCGGTTGCTAAAACTAGTCTTCCCCTAGATATTAGCAACCTACTCAAAGCCAAAAAGCTGACCCTCTTGTCATCCCTCAACAATTCGGGTTTCGTGCCAAACACTCATGCCCCCCAGCAAGTTCACCGCATAGTGGAATATATCCTCAGCGGTTTTTATCCTCGTCGTCAAAAGACCATCGCGGTCTTTTTCAACATTGCCAAGGCATTCGACAGAGTCTGGCATGAGGGCTTTATCTATAAATTGTACGACTTAGGCCTCCCTGACCGCCTCGTCCGCCTTGTAGCCTCCTATTTAAAGGATCGTACCTTTCGGTTTAGACACGAAAGCACGCTATCCTCTACTCGTCAAATCAAAGCCGGTGTTCCTCAAGGCTCTGTGCTTGCCTATCCTATATATATTATTCACCAACGACATCCCTATCCCGTCGAATGGTGTTACACTAGCCCTCTTCGCAGACGACACAGCCCTTTACTCTAAAGGCAACTCACTGCCACAGATTCGGAACAAGATCCAAAAGTCAGTTAACAACTTAGAAGCTTGGTTCCAAAAATGGCGTATCGATGTAAACCCGGAGAAGAACTCCGCCGTTTGCTTCGAATATAAACGACGCCGTCTCACCGCCACTCCGCCAATCAGGATGTTAGGAACCCCTGTCCCATGGCAAACAAAAGCCAAATACTTAGGAGTCACCCTTGATGGAAGGCTCACTTTCGAACCCCATATCAAAAAGGTAACTCACACCGCGCCATTTTACATGGGTAGGCTCAACAGCATGTTGGGCAGACACAGTAAAATGTCTCTCCGCAACAAGCGAACCCTATATAAGGTCTGTATACAACCTGTTATGACCTACGCGGCCCCCATTTTCGCACATGCTAAACCCAAAGTTATAAATGAACTTCAAATAGTTCAAAATCTATTCTGTCGTAGGGCCACTAATTCGCCCTATTATGTCCGTAATGCCGACCTACACCGAGACTTAGAGCTCCCAACAATCCAGCAGTTCCTTAAATCACTCTCTGAGAGATTTTTCAAAGCCTCAGAGTCCCACCCAAATCATCTCATTCGTGAGACAGCTGTCTATGCAGCCCCTATCCACACTCGCTATAGTGTGCGCAGACCGAGAAACTCTCTCTCGGACCCCCCCAACAAGCTTTCGGCTGACCTGAACTGCCTCCTGGCGGCTCAGGCCGAGCCTACATAACCATCCCTTAATCTGCCTTAGTTAAGCACACTTCTAATCGCCTTGCGCCCTCCTTTCTGCCAAGGAAGGTCGTGTTCGTATACGGCTTAGAGATCTCCCGTCAAATCGGTGAGCCAATCCATAAAGGCGGTGTTTAGTGGATAAGTCTCCACATAACCACGCAACCGGCTGCGTGGTATGCTATGAGCATTCACCGCCTCCCTCCCCCGCTTTCCGGAAGGTTGGCCATATTGCTTTGGGCGCAAAAAAAAAAGAGTGCGAGCTTCATACAATATTTGGCTGTTGATGCGAATAGACGTTCAGGGTGTTCGACCTTATTGACAGACAATAATTGAATTTAACAAACCGTGCTTATCAGCGCGACTTTTAGTCTACTCTTACGTTTAATAATTTATTTTTAGATTTCTTTGGTTGTTATTTTATAAAATAGGTATTAGTTATTTTGGTGGTGTTTAAATATTTCTTAGTATTAGCTTAATTAAAAATTAAACTTTTTATTTTTATTTAGCTGTAGTTTTAAATAGGTACCTAGGTATCAAATAGGTTATTTCATTCTATTAGACGTAGTTTAGGTACCTACTTATATATTTTTAAGAATTTAATTTTGGATTTAAGGATTTATTTAGGATCCGTTTTATTATTTAAGTAGGCATTTAGATTTTTTAAGTGTATGGTAGCTATAGTTAGGACCTCTAACGTAGATTATTTTGTTAGGTAACTGAATGCCGTCGATTAAAAATAAAATACACAATGCCACCTAAAAAACGATTATCTTTATCTCGAAATTCGAGAGAAGCTAAGAGAATGAGAAATGTGCGTTCTCAAGAATCGGCAGAGGAAAGAGCACATCGGTTAAACTCTATGAGAGTTAGTGCCTCAAGTTCTCGAGCCAATGGAAGCTCTCCAGAAAGAGAGATTCGATTAGCAGCTGACAGAGCGAGATGAGCTACATCACGGGCGTCTCAAAGTTCTTCTCAACGAGAGCTAAGGCTTACCATTGACCGAGAACAACATGTGTTATCGCGAGAAGCTGAAACTGCTTCACAGCGAGAATTGTGGCTCACAGCTGACCGCGAATGGCATATATTATCTCGCGAGTCCGAAACCTACACTGAGAGGGAATTACGTCTGACAGCTGATCGCGAACGGCATGTACTATTATCCCGCGAGTCCGAAACCTTCACTGAGAGGGAATTACGTCTCACAGCTGATCGCGAACGGCATGTACTATCCCGTGAGTCCGAAACCTACACTGAGAGGGAATTACGTCTCACAGCTGACCGCGAACGGCATACATTATCTCGCGAGTCGAAACCTACACTGAGAGGGAATTGTCTCACAGCTGTTCGAAGTATTTTATTCGAGAATCTGAAACTTTTACTCAATATGAAGACCGTTTGACAAATGATAGGGTGCACCATAATATTATTCGATCTCTTGAAGATGAACATGAGCATGAACAACGACTAGAGTCGGGACGCGAATATTACAATTCTTTGAGACAAGAACGATTAATAAGTTTGTCTAATGAAAGATTAAGAATTGAAAATATTCGGTCTCTTGAAACGGACGAACAGCGAGAGGCCCGTCTTACTGCAGACAGATTTCGACATAGTCTTAATGACTTAGATGTACACATGGAAGATCAATCTACAAATTCGGTGGCGTGGTCCGACAAATATAAAAGTGGGTTTGCTTACAACCTCACAATTGATTACAGATCATCTTCTGTAATAGGCGATATGAACGTAGTATGTTCTTTTTGTAATGCTTCAAAGTGGAGTAAGGAGTCGGCTGGTTTCTGTTGTTCTGGAGGTAAAATAAATTTGCCTTTCTTTCGAAGATCCACCGGAACCTTTGAAGTCACTACTTTAAGGGGAACATGTGCAATCTAAACAGTTCTTAGACAATGTTCGCACTTATAATAGTGCGTTTCAAATGACATCCTTTGGTGCTCAACAAATCTCAGAATGTTCTTTCATGCCTACTTTTTAAGATACAAGTTCAGGTTTACCACTTGATAGGATACCTTTTGCCTGAAGACCAACCTAAGTTTCTTCAAATATATTTTGTATCCGATTACAACGAACAGTCGAATATAAGAAATCAATAATTCCCGAATTTAAATACTGAACTTATTTCACAACTTCAGAACATGTTGCATCAGGTTAATTCGTATGTATGCAGTTTTAAATCAGTATTAGAAGCTCTTCCTTAAGATGGTGATAACAATTATAAAATTGTTATAAATGCCGATAGGCGTCCTACTCAGGAACATCCTGGGCGTTATAACGTTCCATCCACGAATGAAGTTGTTGTATTGGTCGACCAGGAATGTGGTAGGCGTGATATCGTTATCCGTTCCAGAGACAATCGATTGCAACGTATTTACGAAACCCACAGGGCTTACGACAGTTTGCAATATCCTTTGATATACTCTCGAGGAGAAGATGGTTATAATTTCGCTTTATACCAAACTGATCCGCGTACAGGCGCACCTAATTATAATCAAAAGATGTCATGCCTTCAATTTTATTGTTATCACTTGCAAGTGAGATGGAATAGATTTGTATACTTTCAACGTTTTCGTGGCTAATTCAATCAGTTTATTGTTGACATGTACGCAAAAATTGATACCGAAAGATTAGTTTATATACGATCTAATCAAAGGCAGCTGCGCGCTGAAGAATACGTGCACCTTCGCGGTAGCCATGCAGCAAGATAATGATACGGTGAACATGGGCCGCTTAGTTATTTTACCCTCTTCTTTTACTGGTGGTCAACGCTACATGCACGAACGTACTCAAGATGCTTTTTGTTACGTAAGAAAATATGGACGTCCCGACTTATTTATTACTGTAACTACCAATCCCAAGTGGGATGAAATCACTCGGGAGCTTATTGAGGGTCAAGCACCGCATGACCGCCATGATATTATTACAAGAGTTTTTCATTTAAAATTAAAATCAATGATAGATCTACTTACCAAAGATAACATTTTTGGATATTTATTGTGTTATATGTATAGTGTTGAGTGGCAAAAACGCGGCTTACCTCACGCACATATCCTGCTTTGGTTAAAAGATAAGGTTCGACCTAATGATGTAGACAGTTCAATCAGTGCTGAAATTCCAGATCCGATTGCAGGTCCCGTGTTATACGACATTGTAAAACTCATATGATACATGCTCCATGTGGGGCATTTAACGGGAATGCTCCTTGCATGCAAGACGGTCATTGCACTAAAAGATATCCAAAAGCATTAGTGGATGAAACTGTAACAGGACATTATGGATACCCATTATATCGTCGCCGTTCAAGAGACAATGGTGATTTTACTGTTGAAAAGCCAGTGTCTGGACAACAGGTTACTTTAGATAACAGGTGGGTCGTTCCGTATTCGCCTGTGTTGTCTAGAGCATTTCAAGTTCACATAAATGTTGAAATGTGTAATAGTGAAGAGTCAATAAAATATTTGTAAGTATATTAACATGGGCAGTGACCAAGCTAAACTTGCGTTGAGAAATTAACATGATGAAGTTACTAGATTTCAGTCAGGCAGATATATCAGCTCTTCAGAAGCTGTGTGGCGGGTCTTAAGTTCAACGAAAGAATCCACCTGTGACTCATCTGGATGTTCATCTTGACGGCGGTCAACGTATATATTTCAATGCGGAAAATGTTACAGAACGATTAGAGAACCCTAGACAAACAACTTTATTGGCATTCTTTCGACTTTGCCAAAGTGATGATTTTCAAAATCTCTTTTGTATGAGGAAGTTCCATCGTATTATACCTACGATAAGCAACGAGGTGTTTTTAATCGTAGACGCCGTGGCAGGCCTGTAGATGGCGAGTCAGGTATTTTCAAAGAACATGTTATTGGCAGAGTGTATACCGTTCATCCTAACAACGCTGAGTGTTTCTATTTGCGATTATTATTACATACAGTGCGAGGACCAACATCATTTATAGATTTGAGAAAAGTAGACGATGTTGTTTATCCAACTTATGAAGCAGTTTGCCAAGCGCGTCCTTTGCTTGAAAATGATCAGGATTGGGATGACGCTTTAGCAGAATCCTGTGTTCGTGATAATCCACGACGGGTACGTCATTTATTTGTAACATTACTCACATTTTGTAATTTGTCAGATGCTGTACAATTATGGAAAAAATATAAAGAAAAATTTGCAGAAGACTTTCTTCGGAATATATCTCACAATGATAAAGGCGAAACTAATGATAATTTCCGCGATGTTGTCAAAAATCTGTGCTTATTAGCTCTTCAGGAAGACTTAACAGCAGTAGGCGGTAAATCACTCTGTGTATATGGTTTGCCAACACAACCTCAGTTGGAGAGGTAACCAATAGGGAATATTCCGCAGAAATCGGTTACAACTCAATGGAACTACTGGCAACATTAGAAAACGGTGTCCCAATGATGACTGCACAACAACGTTCAGTCTATGATCACGTGTGCGAGTGTTCAGAATAATTTGGGAACAATATGGTTTTTTGATGCACCTGGAGGAACTGGGAAAACCTTTATGACTAAATTATAGTTCATAAAAGATAGCTTGATCTCTGCGACAGCTGTCAGTATAATCACGCCCATGAAGTCCTGTATTTCTTAGTAGTACAGACAGTACCTGTCAATGTCATACTTTATGGGCATGCCGACCTAATTAGTGCATGCCCATAAAGTATGACATGACAGGTACTATCTGTACTACTAATAAATTCAGGACTTCATATGCGTGATTTTTACTGACAGCTGTCGCAGAGATCAAGCTATCTTTTATGAACCATAATATTAGCTTATGTTTGAAATCAGTGTAAAATTGCTCTTACCGTGGCTTCATCAGGTATAGCTGCAACATTGCTACCAGGAAGTAAAACTGCTCACACTATGTTTAAAATACCAATTGATTTAGATCGCACGGAAAGTTCAACCTGTAGTATTTCAAGAAATAGCGACAAAGCTACGGTATTATGTGAATGTAATTTAATCATATGGGATGAATGTACGATGGCCCACTGAAAAGAAGTAGAAGCGGTAGACAGAACTTTAGGGGATATAAGACAAAATGATCGACCAATGGGCGGTATCACGGTTTGATTTTGTGGTGATTTCCGACAAACCTTACCGGTAATACCACGGGGAACCCGAACTGATGAGGTTAGGGCTTGCCTAAAAAGCTCTTATTTGTGGCGTGATATACAATCGGTACATTTGACTATAAACATGCGAGTGGGAACTGGAGATAACCCGGATGATCGTCCATTTTCTGATGAATTATTAAAGATTGGTGAAAGTACCTATCCACAACTACACCAAGGAAAACTTATTCTGACGCCTGAGTTATGTTGTATAGTGCAATCCCAACAACATCTTATATCGTCGGTTTACGGTGACGTAACAATTATATTAAATAGGGACAATTCTTGGCTATCCGAAAGATTCATTTTAACTCCTCGCAATAACAAAAAATAGCAAAATACTGTCGAATATACGATACGATACGATATCGAGGGAAAGCAAATATAGTTCAATAAATAGAATGGTTGATGAACAAGAAGCCACTAATTACCCGATAGAATTTTTAAATTCTTTAAATATGCCCGGACTTCCTTCTCATGAAATTTGTTTAAAAATTGGCATTCCGATTATTCTGCTCCGAAATTTAAGATCACCACAACTTTGCAATGGAACTCGGCTAAAAATAACCCAGTTGCAACAAAATATAATCGAGGCTCAAATTTTAACAGTTTGCGGTGCAGGAGAAACCGTCTTTCCCAGAATTCCCATAATACCAAATAATTTTCCATTCCAATTTAAAAGAACGCAATTCCCAGTATCAGTGTGTTATGCAATGACAATTAATAAGGCTCAATGGCAGACTTTTCGTGTTGCTGGAGTAGATCTCGGTGTCAGTTGTTTCTCACATGGTCAGTTGTACGTCGCTCTTTCTCGGATTAGCAGTTCTAGAAATCTTTATGTTCACGTGCCGGACGGGTCAACTTTTAACATGGTGTACCCGGAAGCTTTGTGCTGAAGTATTTTTGTTCTATAAGTACTTAAGCCTGACGTGAACGTGATCTAAACAAATTACCAATTTATTAACTTAATAACACACAAGGAGTTACACTCTATCCAAAGCCCAGCGACACTATAACATATATAGGAATGTCGTCTTAGTAAAAGTTGTTTAGTCTGATGGGCATTTCCTGTTGACTTACAAAAATGAAAGATCTAGAACGTCTCGAATCGTCTCGCGAATCACGTTGTTTTCCCGTCCCCGGGCTCTTAGAATTCAACATCAGACGTTTCAGATCTTCGATTTTGACGACCCCGTTGTCGCTGGCATAAGCAAAGGGATCCGCGTACGAAGTCTTTGTTTGTTATATATTGCTTTATTTTTTTTTATAAATTTTAAATAAAAATTGTTCAATTTATTTATTTATCAAAAATTCAATAAATCCCAAATGTATCGATCAACATCCCAAACTCCGTCCCATCACTATGGTTCGGTGTATTCTAAGTTCAACCTTGAAAAATCTAATCACAGGGTATTTGACACGTCCCCCGCAACTCATGCATGCCGCCAAATTTGGAGAAATCGAAACAGAACAAATATTCGATGATGCGGTATACATTAGGGGGTAATCTGTGATCCAAATATAGGCCTACCGCCATCAATTCCTTTCTCAAAAATAATGGAGTCCATTATTAACAGCCAGCTTATACGGATCCTTGAGGATCACCAGCTGATAAGTGACTGCCAGTACGGTTCCCGTTGGGGTCGCTTGGCTGGTGATTCTGGGTTACCAAACACATAGATGCAGTATAGTATACCCCAGCTACTGCTGGAGGCAGTAGAATCCAAGGGGCCTCCCCCTTTTAGCTGTAAGTTTGGACATAGCGAAGGCCTTTGATCGGATATGGCACAACGCGTTTCTTACAAAGCTTCTTACAAAGAGGTCGTAGGAGGGAACCTTCCCGAGAGATTGTGCGATTGGATTACCAGTTTTCTTGCAGATCGGAGCATCAAGGTCGTAGTAGACGGTGCATGCTCCGATTACAAGCCCACTAACTCTGGTGTTCCACAAGGCTGCATGCTTTCACCAACGCGGTTTCTTCTGCATATCAATGATATGTTGCGAACCGGTAACATTTATTCACACCATAGCGGTGTGGTATTGCGGTGATGCTTTATACACCGAGCATGCCAATTTTTCACAGGAAAACGTTGCCGAGTACCAGGACAAACTTGTGTCCGAAGTAGAGACTTTGTTAAATAACGTCTCGGAGTGGGTGTGACTAAATCTGGTCCAGTTTAATCCCCAGAAGACTTGCGATTTTGCGCGTTTACCGCTAAAAAGGACTGCTTTGTCGTATCTTCTCAGTTTCAAGGCACTCCCCTTCAGCCAGTATTGGAATCCTCCGCATTTACATATCGAGTGACGTGCAGTTTCATGATCACTGTGAAGCGAAGGCCTAATTGACCTCTAAAACCTTGGCGTACTCAGCAGAGTGTGACAGTATTTCATGCCGGCACACCGCATGCATCTTTACATCCCATCTCTGGGCTGGGGCACTCTAGTGCCAGGGCCTTCCATTTGATCGAATCCAGCGCAGAGCCGTTAAAATCTTCAGCGACCGAGTTCTTTCCGATCGGCTTGACTGATTGGAACTGCGAAGACATGTTGCATCTCTTTACGTATTTTATCGCATTTACCACAGAGCGTGCTCTGAGGGATTGTTCGGACAATTCCAATCACACAATTTCACCGTCGTACATCGCGATAAAACTCGCAATACCATCCATACTATCTAAATGACTGGCGGTCCAACACTGTGCTATTTAAAAGAAGTTTTCTTTCTCGCACAACTTCCTTGTGGAATCAACTACCACCAGAGATTTTTCCGGACCGATATGACTTAGGGACCTTCAAGAAAAGAGTCTACTCATTTTAAAAGACCGTCAGCGTATCTGCAACTCTCCTGGTGTTGCGGTTGTACATGGGTAGCAGTAATATCTTACCATCAGGTAAGCCGTATGCTCGTTTGACCCCTCTCCTATAAAAAAAATATTATTATATATAGATTTAGCCGCCCCCAATCCGAGACTATGTTCAGCAAAGACTCGACTTCAGTTCAGTCCCAATCTGAGTTGCACCGTAATCCGGATCAGATAATGGTCTGAGGAGCCAAGAGGGGCAACAACGGAGTCCTGATATCCGTCCAGATGAGAAGTCTTCAGAAGGTCCAACAGGGAAGGTACATGATCTTCCACATCTGGGATCTGCGTAGGCGAGGTAACCAGTTGTGTCAGACCATATACCAATGCAAAGTCATAAACAGATCCACCGGCATAATCGGTTAATCGGGAACCAAGCCATTCAGCGTGGTGGGCGTTAAAATCACAAATCAACATGATCTTTGTGGATGGGACCTTTTGTAGCACGGAGTCTGCAGCCATTTCAATGTGGTCGATGAGTCGGTCTGTGTCGGCATTACCCCATGGAACCTATAGAGGCACCCATAGACGCGGAGATGGTCGTTGCTATTTACGCGCAGCCATAAGATGGACAGGTCAGCCATAATAGGACCTTCAAGGCTGCCGAAACATCGAAAACAGATGTTCTCTCTGACGTACACACAAACTCCAGCCCGGAGCACGAAGGAGGGTTCTAACTCGTACCTGGGTAGGAGAGATACGAAGTATCAGGCGGAGAGGACACCTGTGTCTCAGTTAGAAAGAGCAAGGCCTGCTTCGCCGTTACCAAATGATAGAGGACGGCGTTCAGGTTTCAATGAAGTCCCCTGACGTTGCAGAAATTCACGGATAGCGTGCTTTGTCTTCTTAATCCGTTTGCTCCGAGCAGGTTTAGTCTCGAGTGGAGTTTTTCCCCCTCACCCCAGAATTTACGGGGCAGCCTGAGCATGGGCAGGAAGAGCACGGAAACTTGAACGTGGATGTCCAGCGAGGGATTCTCAGTCAGGGGGCTGCGGAGGGGCTGGTATCCTCCATTAAGTCCGCTACAATGTAAAGTGACGGGGGGATCGTGCCTCTGGCCACCTGCACTCACTAGACGAAATGCAGAAGAAGAGCTTCTACTTCACGCTGGTTTTCTATGAGGTCGTAGTATCAAGCAGGTTCAAGCCGGCCCATGCGCGCAACATCAAAAGGTGCTCCGTGGCTCCACCAGTGTTAAAATACGCAGAAGATGTTAAAGTGCAACAAGTGTCTGAGGATACAGATACACTATTGTCTCAACGGTGATGAATAACGCTATCCAGCCATCGGCATATAGTCGGGCATCAAGCATGAATCGCGCATCGAAAGCTGTGAATAACAAATATTATGGAATTTATTCTATTATCCAGGCACATTAAGCTAAGAGTGACAGAGGCCTGCTAAATCTAAATGACATACCCGAAATATATCCTAAAGGAAAAAGTAACATATGACAATTTTTTTGCTGTTGTCCGGTCTATTACTGTCTAATAATATGAAAACAGGCATTTTGCCTTGTTAAAATCTTATCCCGTTTCCTCTTAGGTAGCCTCCTTAAGCAAGAACATAGAAGAGCTTGTTTCAAATATGTTTTCGAAACCTGATTCCTCATGGAACAGGAATATTGAGGCTTAGACACAACAGTTCCATTTTGATATTTTTTTAATCTGTTGATTTTTCCTGATATAACCTCTCGAGCGCCCAAACGTCAAACGTCATAAAGTCGACAAGCGCCCCGGCCAAATTTAGCGTATGAATTTAAGTTGGCGGTCAGCGTTTAAATGCTGATTTCGACGTAAATTCATTTATGAACACTAATCAATATATACATATTCAGAATCTGCATGAAATTTCCTTTATTATGTATATAAAATTAACTAATTCTAATAGCAAGTGGAAATATTTCAAGCGGTTTAATCACACAAATGTGTAAATGTATACACGTATTTGTAGAAAAGTGTATTTAAAAATCAATATGAATCATTAATACCATTATAAAAGGTCTTATAATGTTATTTATTAGTTATTTTATTAATATAAATAGGTAAAATCATTCTCTTCTCATTAAATTAGTCAAAGAAATAGATTTGAAAGCGAAGTTGTGAAAACAAAATAATATCCTTAAAACAGATGTGAGTTCAAAGCCATTTTTGGCCTTGATTAGCCACTTAAAATATTTTATGTGGTCCCCTATTATGCTCAACTTGTTAACGAGTTTCTTTTATAATACATCTCGTGTTTTAAGTAGTCAGATCTTCCATAATCTCACCAAACAAAAAAAATCCACAAAAAAAATACCACAGCTAAAGATAAGGCTGTAAAAAATAAACTGTTTGATAATTTTATAAATGAATTGTTTTGTCAATAACTATAATGAATATGAAATGAATAAACATAAACACATATTTATAATGATTTGCTAGAGTTATTAAAATCAACTAAAATCATTGACAAAATTTCGAACCAAACTGAGAATTAAGGACATAAAATGTATAGAGTCGTCTTTCGTCGAATATTTTATATTTATTTGTAAAGATATATATTAATTTATTAAATTTATCGGTGGTTTTATTTTTACATTTTTATGTTTATTTTAATTTGTTAACGGTAAAAAATATTTTTTAATTTTTTTAAAAATTGTTAATATGGGTCAACTTAACGAAAATGAAACAATGGAAAAGTTGGATAAATTGTATAATAATAATAATAAAAACAAAAATTAGAAAAAAAGTATAAAATAAAAGACAAAAACATACGGGTCGAATTGAGAACGTCCTACTTTTAAGAAGTCGGTTAAAAAGCTTAAAATTATTATTTTTGTAGGCGTGATGTTGTGCAAAGCAAGTAAACGGGCACAAAGTCACGTTGCAACCAGGGCAATAAACGTGGGTGCGTTTCTCCAAACCTCGGCCTCGAAGAGTCTGATATTCTTTGGGTAGGTGTAAAAAATATCTTCTGAGAAAGAAGTGGCGCTATATATATAATATTTAAATACCAACTTACTAGACTACAAATATCTTTAGCCGTCTCCACAACTTCTATGTTCATTTGTAAATTTATATTTCGCCGCCATTATGAATTCAGAATTCGGGGCGTCCCGCCACCGTATCACGGTTATTCAAGACATCCTCTTAAAATTTTCTTATTTAGATTTATTTTAAGCACTGTGTATATCTTTTTTTAAGATATAACAATAGTTCATGATAATTTCTCCCATTAGAAGAAAAATTTTAGCAGAAATATTTCTTATATCTTAAAATCTAAAACGATTTTTGCAACGGTTTTGTTTGGCTAGGCACATGGTCTAATCTAAATACTGTAAAACAAGTTCGTGGTAGCAAGACTATAATGAAAATAATATTACCATACTCTAAGAATAACATTAGCTACTTACTAAAAACTTTTTTCTCGCGATACTCAAATTACAACAGAATAAATTCACAGCTCGAAGTTAACTAAGCGTCCAAAGCGATATGACATCACATACTGATAAGTTTAGCTGATTTTTTGTTTTAACAGTCGTCGAAACTATACGTGCTTATGTATTAAATCTATTAAACGTTTCATTAGCTTCAATATAGTATACGTTAAAAAGAGACAAACATTATTTCGGCTCTTCATTAAAATATTATTTGCGACAACTACGTCACCACCGTATAACGGTCGATGGGCGCTTATCGGGGGTAAAACAGTCCACCGTAAAACGGTGGCCGGGCGCTCGAGAGGATAATCACCTAACGCTACAATTTACGATAAATACACCTCATGTCACTTACTCATGACCAAAAACTGCTAAGTCAAAATTATAGAAGTCATTCTCTCATAAATCTCTCTGGCACTTTAACTTACGTTCTAATTTATGAAATTTTAATCTAACCTTTTAGAAAATTACACATTTACATTTCTATCAACAATACTGAAATTTAGTAACCACATAAAGTTGGAAATTTTTTGATAATAATTTACAAATTGTTAAGATTAATTTTTTTTTTGTACTATGTACGCACACGATTCTTCATATAGGTATTGAACATTTTGCAGCTTAAAAACCCAAGATTTAGAGTTGTTATTAGTAATTAGTAATTTTGTTGAAAATATTATCCTCCTGTCATATTTTGGAAAGATTTTAAAATATTTTTATTTTTAAAATGTACAACGCATTCATAATGCGTAAAATGAATCGTTTTGTAGAATTTTCTGGAAAGAACAAAGAACACACTTCGCGATCGACTCGTGAATGACGACAGCAGTGAACTGAGGAACTCTTGAATTTCGATTTTCGATCCAATCTAAACGTCATTTGACTACCGTGTGTGAAGCTCGTTTCTATTGTCTTACGTACAAAAATCGCATTTTCACCGTTTCTGGAAGTTTACGTAGTTTTGTGCAAGTGATTATAAACAAGGTAAAAAGTTATCAAATGCTTTTAATTCACTAATTATGCACTAATAATGAAATTTTACTTGACAACTCAAGCACACCTTGCTGTCATTTAGTTAGATTCTATGGTTTCTAGACTTGCGTTAATTCTATGCTGAAATTAGGTTATAAACTAAAGTTAAATTCATGTATGCACTCATCGACTTGTACCATGATTTTCATTAATTCTCCTTTTTTCGTGACGTTCACTCGGTTCTTTTTTAAATTGAAGTGAAATACGAACTTATAGTTCATCTGATGGCAAGTATCTACTGCCGCCCATGAATACCTGCAACCACCTTTGAACAAAGAATGGTATAGATGGGTTGTCGCTTCGGAGGACAAAGATGGAATGATATTCGGCCAGGACACAATAGATCTCGCGCTGCCGCTTGTGTCCTTTAATTATGATTTCAGATCTCTTAATTAACACTTCCACACGCTCCTAATTAACATGTGTGCATGTTAATATTCTAAGATTTTTTCCAGTGTATTCTAGAAGGCATTCACTGTAGTAGCATTATTTATATTTTTCGGTAGTTCATTCCAATTGGTGACATGACACATTTATTGTGTAGTGGTGGTGTAAGAATATACACTACCCATATAATCCCATGGGTGTCGCAGCAGCAGCATTTCCTTAATAACAACTAGTGATGCAACGAATACGAATATTCATATTCACTGAATAGTAGAACATTTAGTGAATATTCATATTCGGTGAATACAAATCACGAATATTTAAAAACTAATATTTTTGTACACAACTCTTATTAAAGGCAGACTTTGAAAATGCGACGATGTGCATAGGCTCTTAGCCACAATGATGGTTACACAAGGGCATATTTTAATACTGAAACAACTGCTGGATTCTCAACTAGCTAACAATATACTGAAACATGTTTTGTTTTAAGATGTTGAAACTAGATGGGACTCAACATACCAGATGTTGAAGAGATTACATGAACAACACATAGCGATTCATATTGTCATGAAATCACAGCAAAGCAATGGGCTCTTATGAGCCAAATAATTGATATTTTCACCAATTTTGAAGAAGCTACTAAAGACTTAAGCAAAGAATCAAGGACATTATCTCAAGCAACCCCAATAATATGAAGTCTTAAATATTGCCTTTGATCCATTTCCCTTTTCTTTAGCGAGAAGATGTCCATTTTTCAAGGCTGAAAAAACGCTCAAAAATATTTTTCACTGAAACTGGCTGGGAGCATCCAGACTGAGAAAAGAAATCGCCTAAAACCAGAAAATCTACAAATCTTATGTTTTTAAAATAATAATTTACCTAAATTTTAATTATTAGAACAATAGAACATCATCAAATAAATTAGTTTTTCAGTACCATGGCGAGATATTCGTATTTGTATTTGCCGAATAGTAGGTTATTGGTATTCGTAAAATATAGAAGACAACATTCATAGAAGAAGACATTCGTAAAATATAGTAGAATAGTAGGATATTCATATTCGTAAAAGTAGTATTTGTTGCATCATTAATAACAACTAAAAATAAAAAACTGAGTTTGTCAAATGTGGGAACTATGATAAATATCCCCATATGAGGCAATCTATGGGGGAGGCCTATGTCCAGGAGTGGACTTTAATAGGCTGTAAAGGTGACATTATATTTTGAAATTAAATGTTTTATGGGATATTTGTTTTATGGCAAAGTTTAAGTCAATGTCCTCTCAGAGATTTGTTCCACAAGTTTGCTCATCATTCACTAAAAGATTCTTTTATTTCCTGGTTCCGTCTCTTTGCAATGAAACAAGTGAAAAATGTCCTATATATGGGTTATCAATCTTTAACTGCCAGAAGACTGTCCACTCATACCTTAAAAACAAATCTTATGATGTAACAAAAATACCTGAACTTATTGTAAAACTTACCTGACTTACCTACACTCTCACAAAAACACACACATGCACACACACACTTACACACATACATTTCTCAATTTTATATCAATAATTTGAATTACTAGAAAGTTTTATAATTGTAGCCCTTATAACTGTAAGTATGTATGTATTATATACCTATTATTATGGGGATTGAGACTGTTACTCCTTACTACAGGTAATTCTGTACCCTAGCTAAGAGAGCAGAGAAGATCATATTTTATAGATAGTACAAATAATGTCATGTCCCACCCATGTACTTTTTTTATAGGATAGGGTGACAAACGAACACATATTCCACCTGATGGTGATTGTTGCGGCCCATAGACATCTACATCTATCCTCCATTACAAATCAAAATGCAGATGTGTTGTCACCCGTGAGGACTAAGATGGAATGCCTTGTTTCCAGTAAAAAGGGTCTTTTTCCAGTTTCCAAAAAGAGTTTCCAGTAAAAAGGACTACAATCACTTTTATATCAGTAAAGTTTTATTATTATTGATTATTATAGTATTGTTATGTTAAGAATATGAGTTTTTTATTTGATCTCACTTGTCATGATCATTATAATGCCAAAGTTTCTGTGATTCTACAGAAGAATATCTGATCAGCGGTCACCTACAACCTGTAATAACTCATATAACTAACAAGCTTTGTTCTATTTCTTTACCTTATTGATTATGTTACATATTAATCATTCAGGATTGAAAATGGTGAAAGAAACTACATATTATGACATACTGGGGGTGAAACCTAATTGTACTACAGATGAACTTAAAAAAGCATATAGAAAATTGGCACTCAAATACCATCCTGATAAGAACCCAAATGAAGGAGAACGTTTTAAGCAGATATCTCAAGCATATGAAGTACTGTCTAATCCTGATAAACGGCGAATTTATGATCAAGGTGTGTATACTTTTAATAATCATTTTTTGTCATCTATGATAACAATACAAACAGTAATACTTTATTATAGTTGTTGTAGAGCATTTACTATGTAAGCATTTGGCATTTTGTTGAAAAATGTTATGTTTGTGTATGTAAATGTTATAGTTTTTGCGTGGTCTAAATCTTGACTTGAGCCAATAATATCATTTAGAATAGAATTGTATTTGTATTACAAACGAATTATTTTTAGGAGGTGAACAAGCTTTAAAAGAAGGTGGAGGTGGCAGTGGGTTCTCTTCACCTATGGACTTGTTTGACATGTTCTTTGGAGGTGGTTTTAGTCGCCACGGTCGGCAGGGTAGAGAACGCAAAGGAAAGGATGTTATACATCAGCTGTCCGTCACTTTAGAAGAGTTGTACCGTGGTGCTGTTAGAAAACTGGCTCTACAAAAGAATGTTATTTGTGAAAAATGTGAAGGACGGGGTGGCAAAAAAGTAAGTTAAATTACAATGTTTACTTTTATATAACCTAACTATAAGACTAAAGCTACATGTATACATGTAGCTTTAGTCTTTTTCACATTTCACATATGACAGGATATGCATTAAATATTTACTAAAGTAGCAGTAAATATTCATATGTTGTTAACTTCACTGTTATAAAAATTTCTTTTGTTTTTCTAGGGTGCTGTTCAAACTTGCCCAACTTGCCGAGGCACTGGTATGCAGGTACAAATTCAGCAACTTGCACCTGGTATGATTCAACAAATACAGACCGTATGTTCAGAATGCCGTGGTCAGAGGGAAATTATTAATCCTAAGGACCGCTGCAAAGTCTGTCAGGTATGTAACCTATTCTGCAATAATTTTTGACTATTTATAATTGTGGCTTTCAAAACAGTGACTGATAATAGGTTAGTGCCAGTCAGAGCTACTAGAAAATCTAGAGGATATCCGGAATATCTGAAAATTCAGAAAAATAGGTGTGCAGAAGAAAATACGAAACTTTAATACATTTTTAAGTTCAGGTTCATTCATCAATTACACACTGATATAAGCATTACTTGTTCTTCTTGTTGTGTGAAAGGAAGGCACATATTCTTTTCTTCCTGCTTCCAGACAAGGGCTTGGACCACACAGGACAAAGGATTCAGAATCAGATTGTTTTTAAGATATTTTTTTTTTTTTTGGTGACATTAAGAGAGACTAAGGTACAACAAACATTTGCAAACATTTTTCTGGGGGACCACATTTGTTTTACGATTTGTATACTTTGTAAATGTACATGATAAAGTAAGAAAATGGAGCTATAAGGTATAATTATCATAATAATATTATGTCTCTATGGAAATTATTTTTATATGATTTTAATACCCAAGTTTGTTGGCTTACCACAACATGGTATGTGCAGCCGAACTTGACTTATTGCCAACCAGGGCATTTCTAATTAAAAATGATGGAATGAGCTAGCAACTAGTTAATAATAATTGTGAGAGGAGCACATTGAAATTGTATTTTCATGAAATTTGAATGCAAGCTAAACACAGAAATGAAAAGTTAAACCTCTTGTTGTGAGAGTAAATTTACAATGCTACTATAATTTCAGGGACGAAAAACTGTTCGGGATCGTAAGATTCTTGAAGTTCATGTGGATAAGGGTATGACTGATGGACAGAAGATTGTGTTCAGTGGAGAGGGTGATCAAGAACCTGACTTGGAACCAGGAGATCTTATTATTGTTTTAGATGAAAAAGAACATGAGGTTAATACTTTATACTTAAGCCATAATTTTTATTGCCACCATTATTCATTTTTCTGTTATGTCTCATGTGTAGATTCTAGATACAAGGAATGATCATGTTTAATTTATTTCCTTGGTTACTTCTTACATGTGGACTAAACATATTAATAACTAGCTGATACCCACTTGCTTCGTTGCGCCCAGGATAATATTTTACTGCGGAACTATATTAAATTTCGAGTCAATAGGGTGTATAGTTTTAAAGATCTTGTGATGAGTCAGTCAGTCAGTGGTATTTAGCTCTAAATCAATCTTGCACTATTTTTGTTGGCTCATGAACATATTTTGAATACATGAAAATATAGAATGCACTTTAATTTAGTACGGGTATAAAATACGGTGTGATTGTACAGTTAAATAGTGGTGGTGGTTTTCATTTGGTGGTGATGGTGATTGGTTTAGCTACTTCAGGCTATTTAATGTTTAACTGGAGGGCATTTGATGGGTTCAACTATTTAGGCTTCATTTTTATTTGCATAAATTTTATTATCAAGGCAATATATCCAAAAAAATTACTGATTAAACCAAAGTTAAACATGATGATTTTTAAATACATTGCATGATAAGAGAATGATTTATCAAAAAAAATCCCACAGTAAAATATGTTTTAATCATTAATTTAATATCCAAAACTTAGATGATTTTTCAGTTTTCTTGTCTGTTTTTTAGCAAATATACTCTTTTAAATGTAACACTTGAGAGTATTATATTCAGTTGAGCATGCATTGCCTATGTTATATTATCTTCATACTATTGCCCCAAAAAATTGTGTTAATATATTTAATTTCATTACAGGTTTTCAAACGTTCTGGTAATGACCTCATTATCCGTTTAAATATAGAACTAGTTGAATCACTGTGTGGTTTCCAGAAAGTAATCAGAACCCTAGATGATAGAGATATTGTAATAACTGTTTTACCTGGTGAGGTCACTAAGCATGGAGAAGTGAAATGTGTGCAGAATGAAGGTTTGTAAACATATTATTTTAACAAACCCAACATAAAGTTGCATAACATAAAAAATTTATGTTATGCAACTTTATGTTGGGTTTAAAATATTGTATATAATGTTATAAATAATCTTACATCATGCACCACAAAGGTGTTCTTATTTATTAAGTTAAACTAGAGATGTGCCTTGGCTTCACACGGGTGATTACTCAATCTCGAGAACAGCTCAACCGACCGGGTCCAAATGTGAATGTAAACCATCTAGGGACCCATTGAAATACACAAAAAGTTTCAACAAAATCGAATGGTTTCAAAGTCTATAATGGACATCGGTAGAAACATTTTTTGTGTTTTATATAGATAAATAGACAAACACGGCCTATGCTTGTCAATTTTACTTTATGTGATGGGAATCCATTTACACATATGTTTCATCTCAACACTGAAACAAGATACAGTACTGCCACTGCCCTGAGTTAAGTAGGGGTCTGCCAGTCCGCTGTGCTGCCCGTAGTCTGTGTTGGCAGACTTAACATGTCCCTCAATTATTTTGATCTGTTAGACATGCAGTTTCCATCATGATGTATTCCTGCACTGTGGTAAACGCTGGCATGTGGTAAATCAAACTGAAATAGTAAAAATAATGGTGTGCTGATCTAGTGCGTATTGGGGATTTTTATGTGTTTGCAGGTATTTTATATATGAATATTTTATTGGAGTTAAATGGGGCAGTAATCCAAGATACAAAGGTTGGTTCTGTGACCACTAACCATACTGCAGTATTATGAAAATGGACAAATCTTACCGAGGAACTCTTGCTAACTGTGGTGTATTCTCGGAAAAGAACAAAGACTGACAAAGATGGTTATTCTAAGAAATTTTTACAAATTCTCTCTTTGGCTCTGACATTTCCATTAAAGAATTTATGAAAATATTCCTTTCAAAGGATTTGAAAAGTAAACGACTCTTGTAGCCAGAGCCAGATCTCTTACACTACCACCACATGGAAATCATGTGGTGGAAGTGTAAGAGAATTCACTATCCCACACATTGGGGATCCAAAAGAAACTGAAGCAGGAAATGGGACATCAGCATCTTCTTAATGGCAACTTAAAATAACTAAATACTGTGGTTGCCGATCCCCAAGTGGAAGAATGGCTGCTGTGCTAGACATCCCACATGAGGCAATCTATGAGTGTAGCTTATGTTTCTCCAGAGACTGATGACAGGCTGTGATGAATTAAAATTGAATGAAGCAACTAAATATGAACTAATGTTTAGTGGCCATTTATTGGAATACATTACAACCTATCACAAGCCCTCTGCCGAACTTAAGCCAAAAAGTATGGCTCGAGCCACCTGCATCTGTTGACATACATAATATAATAAAATTCCTACTCATCAGTCCATGTCACATTTTAAAATATATCTATTAATGTTATGGGTAATTTGGAATTATCTCTTCGACGTCTCAACACTCGCGAAAATTTCGCATAAATAAAATATACTTAATCATCCAATAGTTTTTAAAATTAAAACATTTAATTCCTATAATATTAATTATTTTAATTTATTTATGGTTTATGATTAAATCAATATAATGTATTGGGCTATGGGATGGTTCAGCCGTACCTCAACCTACTGTTACTGATATTGCAAGATTGGTCTAGTGTTTTATTAGACGCAAATAGCCTAATCATATGAGTAAGTATTTTGAAAATTGCTATTTATTATGTTGGCGTTAAAGGATTTGCATATTTTCGCGAGTGTAGAGAGGTCAATGGGATATTCTCAAAGTATGCTTTATGATTTATCGTAAGACTTAAATATAGTACACTTAAACAGTTTATTATATATATATAGTGGTTAATAACTTTCATTTTTATTTCAGGTATGCCTATGTACAAAAATCCATTTGAAAAGGGACAGCTTATTATTCAATTTTTAGTTAATTTCCCTGAACGCATTCCACCTGAAGTCATTCCTGCATTGGAGAACTGCTTGCCGCCTAGACCGAGGGTAAGAAGCTTTACTTTATCATATTGATAATAATTTGCTCTGACTTGAATTCAGTTGAACATGGCTATATTAGCCATTTTTAATTCACTGATAGGTCTTTTCATGAATGTAATTTTAATGTTCATGAAAAATTTCCAATTTGCACGCATATTTGAAGTTAAAATACACCCAAACTACAATTATCACATCCTAATCGACGCACCGCAGCAAGAACCCTAAAGCCGAGTCCACATTTGATCATCTTGACGTTATCTTGATCAGGCGTATCATATCAAGTACTTATACCCTAAGCATGGGCACTAATTTCTACCATGAGCAAATGACTTATATTTCAATGCTACCTAGCTTTCTCTCATTTAGTTCGGTCAGCGCTTTATCGTGACTGTATTTTTAATGTAATTTTTACAAGACTTAGTTTCACTGCGACCAGTATGATCTATTATAATTGTTTAGTAAGGAATTACCTAGATCGGGGATTCCCAAACAATTTTGTGCAAGAGACCCCTTTTCCAAAATTAACTGATGATACCTCAGACTGATACTCAGATATACAGTAAACTTGACATCATTTTCTAATCAAAATATTTCAAAATAAATAGACATTCAATCCAGTAAATATCAATTGTAATTAAAAAATATTAATACAAATTATGTAAAAATACTTAAGTAGGTAATTATTTTGTGGAAAAAAAGCATTAAAATCACAAAGTAAACATAAAAAACCAAAAATTTTGTGTGATTGATGAACCTGGTGACTGTATATCAACTTGACAACTCTCTACAAATCCGGTTCTTTGATTTTCAAACGGTTTCTTTGTTTCGTCAAAATGTTTATAACCACACTGAAACCATTTTCGACTAGGTATGATGATGGAAAAGCAATAAAGTATTTTTCAGCAATGTTCCACAATGCAGGATGCTGTGTTTCAATATTGCACTGCAACCAGAACTTCTGATAGCCTTAGTTCTGCTTAAGCTCTTCGTCTTTGCTGATGGTGATCACTCTTCTTGCATTACAACATTTCCGTATTCCATGGCTGTGATATTGTACGGATTTATTATTCATTGAGGAATTTGTAAATATAAGAGATCCTCAAACTTCTTAGTAAAATCCTTATGTAATACGTCCAAGTGACATATGATAAAATAATTGTATTGAAGCATTTCTGGTAATTTTGTCAAATGTGGAAACTGTTGTTTTTTGAAAATCTTGCTAAGCAAGAAACTCTTGATAGCCAGCGAACCATGTGCAAAAGTAACCGAGTAAAGACTTCGTCGTTTTACTCTCATAGTTGAGCAAATAACCGCGAGTTCAAAGAGTTGCTTCGAATCTTGTTGACAGCATTTATAATATATTGTAAAGACTGGTGCAGTCTGTCTGTGAATCACGCAGCAAATGACTTGTACCTCAGGCAGTGAATAACTTGTACCTCAGGCAGTTGTCGCTTTAAGTGAGCTATAAAACTACAATGACGACCAACCGTAGATGAATTTGATCATGATTTTGTTTGTTTTGAATCTCGTATATGCGTCAAATACAGAGCAACTCAAAATGTGCATGAAAGACTTGTATGCTCCATCTCATTATCTTGCACGAACTTTTCCACGCTTATTGGTTGCGTGGTTTTTCATTTTCTACGAACTTGTGCACACTTATCGACTTATTGAGTAAAAGTACCACAGTGATACTTCCGACTAAAATATTAGTCATTCTTATAACAAGTTGGTACACGTAACATAACTTATCATTAGTATCTTGAAAGTTTTAAATAAGAACTTGTGTTAATACAATAGGCCTCGGTTTTTAAAGCTCGGCGACTCCTAAAATCAGTTTTTGTTTATGTCGACCCTTGGGAAACCGACTTCGACCCCAATTTTACATGCTAGAGCCATGCTGCAGCTATATTATGGTTGTAACACGAATGTGTTGGCTCGACTGGGGAAGGTCCACACTCTCACAAAATACCAGCGTAAATAGCAGCACAATCCTGATGTATTTTATATGGTTAGTGTATAGAAGCGGAGACCCTTTTTACTGGAAATGAAGCATTACATCTTAGTCTTCAGGGGTGACAACGCATCTGCATTTTGATTATCAATTGAGAATAGACATAGAGTTTTATGGGCCACAGCATCTACTTATCATCAGAACTATGTGTTATTTGTCACCCTTATTCTATAAAAAAAACAGTATGAGTCTGGAGCAAACATAACACACATAAAAGAGCTTTTACTGATAATAAGTTGTTAAGTTAATTCAGCATTTGACAATAGCATAATTAATAATTTTGCTTTTACAAACTCCTTGCTCTTGTAATTAAAATAGCAAGCTATTTTTATAGTTTTAATTAAAATATAACCTTTTTTTATCTTTAGGTTGATATACCTGAATTGGCTGAAGAATGCCAGTTAATGGACTTGGATCCTGAACGAGAAAGTCGTAGACGGCGAGCTCACCACGCCAATGCTTACGATGAAGATGATGAGCAACCTGGCATGAATAGAGTGCAGTGTGCCACTAGCTAAAGGTTTACATTACTTAAATGCAAGGCACCTTTGATGGACCTAATGAGTCTTATCATGGAATCGGAAACAGGCTTAGAGATGTTCCAATATGATAATTAAGGGGGTAGATAGCTTCATGGTTCACATTTAGCATTATATTAATAGTTATAATTTATGTATAATTCTGGTTTATTATTAATGTAGACTAATAATGGTGTATGGCTTGTTCAATCTTTATTATTATTAAACACACGTTACACACAGTTTAAGAACAAAATTGCATAATAAAAGTATTTACTCATTTCAGTTTGTGTGAATTCAAATGTCAAACAATGAATAACAAAGTTTGGTTTAAAATCTCATTGACTGTAAGTAGGAAATATTTGGTACATCTCTAAGCATTATTTACGTCACTATAGTATAGTGATATTTACTTTTTATATAATGTTATATTTACCATAGACTGAGGTACGATTTATTATTCAGATAATACCTCTGAAAATGTTTATCTTTATAACTACTAATTTTTCATATCCACTGAAAAGAAACAATATTCATTATATATATATATATATATATATATATATATATATATATATATATATATATATATATATATTATAATTTATTTGTGTGTCCATTCGTGTTTTTTTCTTATACACAGTTCTCTCGAAAATATTCCTAGCAATAATTAATTCTCTAGATGCAAACTTGATTCATTAAATTAATATTAATACACTAAAGGAGTATTTATAAATTTAGTAACCCATATAATGTTGGTAAAAATACAATTCCAAATAGTAATAGGTCCATTACTATAAGGTGCGTGCATTAGCATGTGTTAGCAACATTCAATTTATTACTACTGTGATTCTATTGTACCAGGGGCTTGTTTCACTTACTAACCGATGCAATGAAATGAGTAAATGATATTTATGTTATTTGCACTTAGCTGTTTCTGTTGACGGGTAGTTACAGTAGTAGTGAAACTGGCTCTAACACTTAGATTTATTTATATGGTAGTAAGTTATAGTGTCGTCGATTAATTCGTATTGAATTTATTGTTTGTATTGTATGTAATAGCTAAATGTTATTTAGCATCATTTGTGGTTGCACACAGTTTTGTTAGAACAAGTATAACGCAATATAACGCTGCTAAATGTGTCACAAGGTGCCCTGTATGATAATTCCTGTAGAAAAATAAACAGCTTAAATTTTGTCGTAAAATCATATACATTGAAATAAACTTTTGTCTCACACCTCTAGTTTTATTTTCACTGTACTGGTTATTATAAAGATCTTAACGCGCATTTAATTTATTAAATCTCAAAGATTGTATTAAGTCTTAAAACACACTTGTTAAAATGATTAAAACTTGTGCACATGTTTGTGAAATCCGCCTATGAAATAAAACCAGCGCAAAATATTTGCTCCTAGTGTCCCATGATAGGTATTTGACATACATATATTCATGGATAAATATCGAGGTAAAGGAACAAAAAAAAGATTTAATTACTCCAGTTGTAGTTATTCATACTGGCCACAAACATTAGTAAATATATGTTTTTTTTTTCGAATTTTATTTGTTTTATGTAATTAATAATAATTATTACGTAATATTGAGTTTTTTTGACTAATTTTGAATTAGGGTTTGTTTAAATGTTTGCTTTGGCTGTGTTATTTATCGTGTTAGGTGTGAATTGTTACTACAAATAATCTACGCCACTCATGTGGCTAGGGCTGTTATTTTAATTGATTGAAACTATGAACACCTACAAACATGTGGCCCAAACATTACGAGTATCAAAATTGGTGTTACACCGAGATGTCAAAAGGTACCTATCCGGCAGACCGGAGCGGATAGTACACGAGACTCAAAGAACAGGGAGGTAAAAGTAAAACTGGCAAGAAGCCAGTTAATCGCTACCAGCATGCTTAGAAATGGGACATAACTTCTGAAATTTCTTTTTCTCCCTTCTCTAAGCAAAAAACATTTCAAACAAACAGTTCAAATCCGTTCACACACGGTAAAAGTAAAACCTTCATCCTCTAGAAAACTAAAACTTCGAGAGAACGGGACGAATGCAATGTATCACAAGTAGAATATTTCAACCAATAGTTTAGAGGATTATGAAGCTGTAAATTTTTATACAAAAAGCGATTACGTTTACGGGGGTGAAGCCCCATGAACGTCAAATTTTCATTATTTTTGGAAATGTAGCTGAAAAGTGAGCTTAGACATGTCTTTTTATTTCTCAGTGAGTCCCACGCAGCCGGCTTCGTAGTATGCTTAGAGCATTCACTACCTCACCCGCTTCCCGGAGGGTAGCTCTTTTAGTTTGCATCATCTCATTTAGACATAACATATCTATTCCTGTATCATGGGCATCATTTCGCGTACTTCATCCGCCTTATCAGTCATTGCTTCACATACATACGCCGATAGATAAACTACTACTCCATTAATTTTGCCAGTTTTTTTTACATACATTGCTATCTAGAATGTTTGAACTAATAGAAGCGTACACTGCTGGTTTCGCTCATCGGATGCGCCGTTCGGGCGCCGAGCCGAGTGTTGAATTATTTTAATGTATCATTATATTTTAAACTATGCTTCTAAATAACATGCTATAAGCAGCAAAGTTTATCTTTATAAAGTTGTCGTGGTAATGAAGTAACTCATTCGTAAAGTAAGGATTAACATGCCATGCCTTATAATAACGCTCATAAATCACTTTAATTTTCAATAATTTTTTGTCACAAAATACATTATTGTGGCTTTAGATGGGGGGTAAGATCTATATTTTTGTAGAACACTGTATTTAGGTATCACTAAACAATACGCCAGCTCACGCGGATTAATCGTTTCGGAAGCGCTTTTTCTTTTGACTTGCTTAACAAAAATCAATATATAAGACTAGATGAGACCTGAAAGATGACGATCCGAGAGCAAGTCTTATCCGATGCCATACCGATAATATCCCAGACGTCAGTCTGAGCGAGATTAGAATGGCTCTTCATCACCTAAAACGGCTAGGCCCCAGTTTTTTTTATAGAAGAGTGGGCAAACGAGCATACGGTTCACCTGATGTTAAGTGACTACCGCCGCCCATGAACATCCGAGGAATCCAGGATCCAGAGGAATTGCAGGTGCGTTGCCAGCCCTTTAGAAAGGAGTAAGCTCTTTTCTTGAAGGTCCCCAGGACGTATCAGTCCGGAAAAAACTGCGGGTGGTAAATATTCCACAGACAGGTCGTACGCGGAAGAAAACTCCTAGTGAAACGTACAGTGGTGGACCGCCAAGCATCCAGATCGTGTGGATGATATCGAGAGGTTTGTCACGTAGTGCGTTCATGAAATTTGGCAGCTGGGATTAATCTGAACAATTCCTCAGACTACTCCCCGTGATAGATGCGATAAAATACGCAAAGAGATGCAACATCTCTTTGCAGCAGTTGTAGATGGTTGAAGATAAAATTACAATAAAGCTTATAAAAGCAAGTGGAAAATCTGTGCTTGAAGTTCTCCATGGTGGCACTACTCCGGAGGTGTGGGGCGGAAGTGAGATGGTCTTGTTCTTCAAGAAAGGCTACAACGCTCTCTTGAAAAACTACGTACCGATTTACCTTCTGAGCTGCGTGTACTATTATTTATTCTGGGGCCGCGTCTACGTGCTGTTTTCGAGAGTCATTACGAATCGTCTCGCACATAGACCCGATGACTTCCAGTCTTCCGAACAAGCCGGTTTCCGAAAAGGCTTTAGCACCATAGACCACATATGTACATACACATCGGCAAATTGTACAGAAGACCGAAAAGTAAAATCTGCCACTTTGACTACGAGACAGCCTTTGATTCCGTCAAAATTTAGGCGGTGATGCAGTCCCTTAAGCGGTGTTAAGTTGACTGGCGGTGTATCGAAGTGCTGAAGGGTTTGTATAGTAGGACTATGATGGCTATCCGAGTACAGAACCAGAGTACGAAACCTATCCCACTGCAGAGAGTTGTAAAATATCCCGGAATCTCTTCACCGCTGCATTGGAAGACGTTTTCAAGCTACTGGACTGAAAAGGATACGGTATTAACGTCAATCGCGAGTACATCACTTACCTTCGATTTGCCGACGATATAGTCCTTATGGAAGAATCACTGGAGGGCCTAAGTACTATGATCAACGACCTCAATAGTGTCTCCATCCGTTGGGAGAAACTTCTTCAGGTCTTAAGATGAACATGGACAAAACAAAAGTCATGTGAAACGTCCATGTCACACATATACCGGTAGTTGTTGGGAGCACTAAGCTCGAAGTTGTTGACGAGTATATTTACCTAGGACAAATAGTCCGACTAGGTAAGGCCAATTCGACCAAGGGGTCAATCGACGGATTCAACACGGCTGGACAGTGTTCGGGAGATTACGACACATCTTCTTATCAGGCATACTACTTACAAGATATCTCATAAGTTTATAATAGTCTATAATATCTCTCTAATAAGTACAATCAGTGCGTGTTGCTACTGATGACCTATGGATCTGAGACGTGGTCCTTTAAAGCTGGCTATATGAAGCTCAAAGTCGCTCAGCGAGCTATGGAGAGGTTTCTTTGTGTAATAGACTTAAAAACGAGGATATTCGCAGTAGAACCAGAGTGACCGACATAGATCAACGGATTAGGAAGCTGAAGTGGCAATGGGCCGGCCATATAGCTCGAAGAACCGGCAATTTACGTGGTAGAGCCGTGCTGCAGCTATACTGTGGTTGCTGCACGAATGCGTCGACTCGACCGGGGTAGGACCCCGCTCTCACAGAATACCAGCGTAAAATAGCAGCTTAATGCTGATGTGTTTCGTATGGTGAGTTTAGAGAATCGGAGACACTTTTTTACTGGAAGCGAGGCATTTCATTTGAATTACTCAAGAAATCATTCTATATTAATATGAAATCATTCATCAAAACGGAGATTGTTACAGCCATTGATCAAGTCATAATTGAATTTACCGAGACTATAGACTTTCTACATC